AATAAAAAAATCCGTTTCAGCCTCTGAAAACCACCCACTTGGCTTAGAATATCCATTCTGGAGAAAATCGTCTGCGCGATTTAGCGCTAGCCTGGACCACAGACAAGACAATGTCAGGCCAGCGGACGGACGAACTAACGGACGGACGGATAGGCTGACGGAGAGGCGGACGCACTGACGGACAAACGGATGGAAAGACATACGAACAGACAGACGGATAAGCTTTAGAATGAGTAGTGTGATTACGAAAATGATTTTATTACAATAAATGAATGGTTTGTTTTATAGACAAGTTAAATCTGTGAACAGAAACTTTTCAGTTGTGACAAAACATCTTAATTCGTATCACAAATATTTTTTTTAGAATATATGTTCCAAATTTATTACATAATCCTTTGACATATGATAGATATATCTCAAACAATGCTTATACATATGGAGAATGTGTTTACTCAAAGAAATCAAAAAAACAAACAAAAGCTGACTTATGGCGTTTATGCAATAGATCCTACAAATGGCTACAAAAAGCATTCTTTCACATTCCGGCTCGTGTTTCTTTGCGCGTTTCCGGCACGTGTTTGTTATGGAATGGCATACCCCTTCGACGCACTCCGCCCAGGTGACGCTCTTCCCTGGCGGAGACGTTTTACGTAAGGGACTTAGGCGGCGGAGGGGCAGCCGGGCGTTGACTGCTCGCCAACCTGCTCCACGGCCGCCCCGCTCCCCGCTCACCTTGAGAAGCTGAGGGAGACTGTACCGCGGTGCTTTCGTCACGTGCTAGGTCACATAATGGTTCCGTGAGGCGTATGGGGCGAGGACCAACGTGAGCTCTTCGCAGACGGTGACACGTGAGAATCGTCCACGTTGCCGCCCGGATGAAGGCAACTGGAGAGGCCGAGTATTTGAATATAAAGGGAGTCAGTGTGTGCAAAAATTGGAACTTTGTGTATGGGTTTAAAATTATAAAATGCAAACGCAATCAGATTGCTTTGATTAATAATATAATGTTGTATTAAGTATAATGCAATAATGAGACCGGGACTAATTTAAGTTTCCTTTGATTTCTCTGTGAAAACCGATAAAAGGGAGAAAAATTGTTACTGGTTTTGAGACATATTGTAAACATTACGTTAGGTTCATGCAAAAATAACGTCCAAAGTACTAGTTTCCTTAAAAAAATATACAGGACTTTTTTTAAATGTCTGATATTTTAGAACATATTTGATTTCAAACAAAATCATTTTTCAATATTGCAATTTTTTAATGTTAATTATTTCAATTATAAAAAAAGACAGAATTTGCTGGAAATGGGACCTGCCCCATTTCTTACTGCCTTTTAATACATACTAGAAAAAAATTTAAAAAACAATTCGAGCCGTTTTTGAGAATTTTTTTGTTTTAAAACTGCCTAAATTTCACGCAATTACGCGAAAATGTTTTGACGCAGTCAAGGAAAGTTCATGTACCTGCCGAGCATCTGCGCTTATGGGGTTGCCTGAGAAACAGAGGCAAATGTCTCATGTATAAATGTATATACAATTACATGCAATTTCCAATTAGTACATATTCAATGGCAAAAGATGATCAATATCGATTTTTCTTCTTGTCCTAAAACTGTGTATATTTATTCTGAAGTGTGCGATGTAGTACGCTGGTCCGGTGGTATTTTAAGTTATTCTAAGAACACCTAAAGCGTTACAAATCGTCAGAACAGAATCGATTTTTTTTTGCTATTTTAGAAAATAAAGAAAGTTCGGGCAAATCGGAACTAGGAATACTTTTTTATCGTTCTTTGATAGAGGGAGAAAATTTGGGAAGAAAATTTAAAGGACAAAATTTATAAACGATTTTGAGAAAATAATTGTTTAAAAATTGCCTAAATTTGTTGCAGAATTTCGCGAAAACTACTCATATTTTCAAAAATTTGTAACTTACCTTGTTGCAAGATCTGTCTTTTAACAAAAGATTTTACAGCATAAAAAAACACTCTCTTCAATATTGTAGCTGAAGGAGCCGGTCAGATGGCCGAGATTGTTAGGGCAGTTGTGCCGTAGCGGTCTCGGACCAGAAAACCACAGGTTCGGGTCTCGCCTCGGGCATGGGTGTATTTGTGTGCCGTCCGTTCGCCCCTCACTACCATCGTCACCTTATCGTCCATAACCCCAGGGCTAGCACTCCTGGGGGATTAAAATCGAGATTCAACTAAAATGCCGATCCCCCCCCAGGAAGGTAATTGCACCTGCAAAAGGAGGATGCACGCGTGGTCCCAGTTGGCCTACACGCGAAAAAAATGAAGTTTAAGATTAGACGCCGAAAAAAATTTGAACTTTTGCAATTTTCAAAAATTCATACACTTTTTCAAAAATAAAAAAAATTGCGCCATTCTTTAAGCATTCTTTACTCTAAACGAGAACCAAATTTTTAAGTCATTTTTGAGAAAATGTTGAAAACGTTGAGGCGTCATGTAAAGTATTTATAAGAATAAAAATATCTGTTTCAAAATTACAGACCCTCGAGTTTGTTCAGAATGATCGAGGAACATCAGAAGGACAGAGACAGAGGTTTAGCTGTCAACTAATTTTTCTTTACCAGTGTGCCAAAAACGTGAATTCTGAGTACACAAAGTGTTAGAAGATGGGACTATTTCGTTACCAGGTCTCAACAATAAAGTACTTGTATGGAAAATCACCCCGTTCAGACGCACGATTTCAATACTTCCTCTTTGTCAAGAACAAAGAAAGGTCAGAGTGTAAAAACCAACAGTGTGTGTTCTAAAAAATGTGAAATGGAATGAAGAAAGAGATAGCTTTGGTGTTTAAATTGCAATGTGATCATTTGTATCTCGAGTATAAAACCGAGTTTACTATCAAGCTTGGCAGGAGCGCCTTGTAGAGGGGAGTAAGCTGGGGAAACTTGCCACAGGCTCCGAATTAATTAGGGCCATATGCTTTTATTCAAATGAATTAAAAATGTATTTACTTATAATGCAAATCAACTGACATCAGTTATAAGTTATTTCTGTTGTTGAGAGAAATGAATTCTTAGTGTATGCAAGAAGGGGGAGCGGAAATTTCTTTAGAAATAATGGATCTACTGCCTTAGGCCTCTCTGCTAGTATTGTCTTTGCTTCTCTGATTCGTGGAATGTAATTAGTACGATGTATAACAGGCTCCAAAGGCGGTCAAGTGCTGACGCCTAAAGTGCATAGGGGGACTGCGTTTCTTGTAATTTCCGTCTGAACGAAGTGTCATGGATTAAGCGTGCTTGCAGTTTTCTCTTTGATGCACCAAGTTTCTTTCCAAGTTTACTAATTTTAATAAATAATGTGTTATTGTGTGGATTGCTTGATTGATTTGGGGATTCCAGACGCGTCAACTGCTAAGGTCATTTGTCCAAAATGTTTTAGCGAGGGAGGTGGCAGTGATCTTTCCCTGCGAATGGCGAAAACTGGCGCCGTCCTACCCGTCGGCTTGCAGGGTTTTCCCCAACCCGATATCTCCCACCAACGAGGCACAGCTCCAGCCAGGACAAGTTCTAATTTCCCGACTGGTATGTGTGATAGTGTAGTGTATGTAAGTGTACGCGTGTGTAAGGGATAAGGATAGGTCAAGGAAATGGAAAAAAAGATCGCAAGCTCTCCGTGGCCCGTTTGTTATGGTACTACGACATTCGCCTTGTGTTCATCGCATAAAGCACTAAATCAGATCAGCCGGCCACTAGATTTCTTCTCCAGACTGCACCTGAATTTGATCTAGCTAAGTAGACAGTTTCAAAGAAATCCTGCCTCCTTCTGAACTCGAACCCTATGACACGCCAGTCAAAAGCACTGCAGTAACACTGAACCACCTAACCACTTGACGCCCTGAGCCACCTAAGTCGATTTTATTGGTTGGAATTGTGCGGTGGCAGCGGCCGCGTCCGCTAAGCCCGAATAAACTCGCGAGCTTCCTAATGCTCCCAAGCGGCAGTTGAGTTGAAACAGCCTGATCCCTGATTCAGAGCAGGAATTCTCAACCTTTATCTGGAATCAACCGCTTTAAAAAAATTGTTTGCTTCATAGACCCTCGTGAATATTTCTCTGTAAGATTCAGCATACGTAATCATAATACAAATAATTGCACAATAATGACTTAAAAGATAAAAATTACGATATTCCATTATTTTTGGTAATATCGTGAATTCCAATGTTTGAACACGCTTCAATTTTTACATTGCACAAAGTGTCGAGAGATTTTTAGTAATGCCCATAATATTTTTGCAGAGAAACACAGAGAATATTTTCTTACATGACAGAGCAACATTGTGAATACGTAGCTATAATTTCTTGAGTTCTACACATTCTGATGATGAGTCATTAATAGAGAGAGAAAATTGTTGTTTTATTAATAAATATTTTGTAGTTTTATAATTGGAAACATTATTATCAACTTCATTAATATTTTACGTAAAGAGTGGTAACTTGATCTCGATCTATGACCTGTTAATCAGTCGTCGGTTGATATTCGGCAACTAACCCTCAGTCAACCGCTTAATCTCCACTGATCCCCTTTAAAATTTCAACGCCCTCTGGGTCGATACCGATCCCGCTGAAAACGGAGGGGAATGGAACTTTAAGTAAGAAAATTACGTGGAGAATTCCCAAAAGTGCTAGAAAGGACAAATAAACAATTTTCTGCAGCAAATACAACACCCCTAAGGGAGAAAAAAATATTTCGTTATTTCGATAGAAATCACCAAATCTGCACTCTTCAACAGAAGTTCAGACATAAGTGCGAAAATAAACATTAAATGGCGAACTTTAAATACGGGAATTTTCATAATGAAGCTGGGAATGTGTATAAAGGAAACGTCCTTTAATGAGCTCATAAGGGAATTCCGTATGCATGTCATCACAAATATAATGTATGAATGTGACCGCCACCTACCGTGCCCTGTGAAAGGCTGGTGGCACGTTAAATGCACATCGGCGTTTCAAAACGCGCGGGACATCCATCAGTCACATGTTAGGCTCCGAGTCGACGTTCTGTGCTATCCACGGAAGGTGCAACGGACGAAGTTTGCGTAAGGGGCGAGAATTTCAGTTGCAATCCTCGAGGCAGCTGACTAACAAGACCGCTCGCAGAACTGCCGAGGTAAGCCAAAGCCATATTGAAAGAGTGTCTTCTGAATGTTCACGAGACGATAATTTATGTAACGGAACGAAGCTCATGTGTAGAGATCAGGGCCAACTAAATTAGACAAGAGAAGATAGTATTTACGAGTTGCGAAATTGATTAATCTTCTAATTGATACAACTTCAGCTTCCATTAATTGCACTAGTGTTAGTAGTTATTTATGTAGTGGGGTATGTGACATCTTCCACAGTGTTCATTACGGTTGGAAGAATTGGTGGAAAGTTGTACCGCCAACAACTACAATTCTGGAGAGGAGAGTCAGCAGATCGTTCCGGAAACTGAAGCATAAGAAGAAAATTCATCCCCGTTGTACGAAAACTACCGGGTGAAGTAAGATATATTCCCATTATTTCTGTGTCAGAGAATCATTACCAAAGAACGTGTGCTGTGTTAAAATTTTTGTTCACGTACGAAGTTGCGGATTCCACGTAAACAGGGAAGTTAACAATTCTCCGAAACCTATGTCAAGTACAGGTTTCCAGCCACCGCTCTCGTTGTCGATTTATTTCAATTGAAGGAAAAGCCAGTGTTAAATTAAAAAAACTAGAAGCAATATTTATTCATTTGCCAAAATACAAACTCTCTGATTTATTAGTTAAAGATAAGTGCAAAATACGTAGTTAATTAGTTCGGGTTTTGGTAATAAGGATTACATTATATTATAATATATTATATTACATGAAGATAAAACCATGATTGAAGAATGTTTTTTTTATTTTCAATTGCAAGCAATGTTAAGTGGTGTGTAGATAGAACATTGTCAGAGCTGTATAAAGTTATAAGTTTTTTTTGTTTCGTTGTATGTTTAATTCTTTTTGTAACTGAACTCGCACAATTCACAATTGAATTTGTTGTTGTTTGGAAATTTAACGATCATTCCGAATCATTCGATTCCTAAAATAATATGGCTTTATTAAAGCCCACGAGGACGATTTTCCAACTCAGTTAACTCCTCATGTACAATTTATGGAAATTTCTTAATAAACTTTTAAATCCTCTTTTACAAGACAATTAACCTTCTGTCACTATGTTTTACCTTTGTTAAAGATATTCAACTTTCTCCTGATTCATATCACACTATGATCTCTCTGGATGTTAAGCCAATGTTTCCATCTTTGCCTAGAGAGTTAATAATTCAACAACTTGAATTTATTTAAAAAAAAACATAAAATTTAAAGTGAAATTCTCAATCAAGAAATTATTATTGCAGTAACTATAATGTAATAATACAATTTTTAAGTTCAACGAGATAATCTATAAACAGACAGATGATGCGCCAATTGGGGGTGTTTTAAGCAGTTTTAGCTCTGATATAATAATGTGAAACTAGAATCTAATATTTTATCTCAATACAATGTCAAGTGTTACCGTCGCTATGTCGACGATTCATTTATAATTTTACAAGATGTATTCCATGATATCTTTTTGGAGGTCAATAACTTCCATCCTAAGGTGAATTTTACTATTGAAAGAGAAATTGATAACAAAGTCAATTTTTTAGATGTTACCATAGTTAGGAATGACCATAACGTGAAAAAAAACTGGTTCAGAAAACAGACTTTTGCAGGCGAAGTTCTTAATTACTACTCCTTACATATTATGAAGACTAAAATTGGAATTAGTTATAATCTGGTAGATTGCGCAGTCAAATTAGCTGATAAGGAGTTCCATCTCGTTTACTTACAAATAGTTTAAGATATTTCAAGAAATAATTATTCTAACGCTGTTATTAATAAATTTATCTTTAAAAGAATGAAGCATGTTCAGTTACATTTCAAACCAATTTCAAAAGATGAAAATACTTAAAAAAAATAAGTGTTTATCATTACCTTTCGTTCCCACAATTAATTACAAATTAGAAAAGATTTTTTGAGAGCAGTACCAGTGCAGATTAATGAACAAAGCTCATAATAAGCAAACTGTGGTCAGAAATGTCAAAGACTATACTTCACCTTTGAATAAAGCTAATGCTGTATGTGGCATTGAATGCAATATTTGCGATGAAATTATTTGTAGGCCAAACTAGTCGAAAAAGTTTTAACTAGAATGCAAAGACATGACAGGAACATCAGAGTTATTCCTCAAAGACAAAACTCTCAATCCAATCAACGGAGAAGTTATACCATTCTTTCAATTTTCAAAATTCGATAATTTTTGATATTGAGACAGAGAGACTACGATTAGTTTCTGGATCTTTACAGATAAATAAATAATTCTATTATTGCTGCTGTTGAGAATAATCTTTTTACAAATATGTATGATGATTGCTTTATAGATGTCGAACATTGAAAAAATAGTTCTCCCTTCTCACTTGTGCTTTCAAAACCTTCCCCCTTCCCCTTTTTTGTCTTGTCTTATCTTCCCCTGACTCTCAGAACTCATTATTTCAACCGCTCACACCAACGTATGAAATTTAGTTTGTTTGCTTGTGACCGTTAGTGTATAATGCCAATGTAAAAAGTATTCGTTTTGTGATTGCTCATCTGTCTGGAAAGTTCTTTACTGTCATAATTTTTCAATTTTAATATTAGATTGTAAATAATTTTAAATTTGTACTAAAAATGTCAAAATCCAATTTTACAGCTTGATGATGGGAACAACAATCCTCGAAACTGTTGCACGAATATAGAATAAATTAAGGTTACAAGAAATTCTGTCAAAAATTGAACCCTAACCCTTCACAAAATCCTGAAGTTATCATTCCACGTTCTGCTATCATTATAAATCCAAAAGGAATCTCCTGGAAACTGAGGATTTTTGAAAGATTTTTTTAACTATTGTTAGTGAAAGACATTGACAATTGATGACAATGAGGGTGGTTGTAGTAATAAAAATATTTCCAACACAAAACTTATTCATAATAGATATCGACACGATTGCTCAGTTATCAGTGTCTGTGCTGCCAAGCTCGACTTAAATCGAACATTACTTCAGAAGTTCAAATGATCAGAGGTTGACAGTTGTTTATTTTTAAGTGTACAAGTATAATAATAAATTGCACTTCAAATGCCAACGCCAGAACATTTGTTTATTTACTCAATTTACGCTAAAACAGGTAACAGTTACCTGAGAGGTATGAGAGATAAGTGGAATGTGAGAACGTTTTCTTGAGCTCACGATTTTATACTCTTTCTCGTACTATTGTAGGTAGAATTATAAAGAAATGCAGCAATGGGCGTATTTAACAAAACTTGATAACATGAAATATTCAACTCCGTGTAATAAAAACTATTTGCATCAGCAGTTGAGCTACAGAGTTTCGCATTTTTCCCTTCCCTAATGTGTCCCAAGTTAAGAAAGGAGGTCATAAGAGAAAGAATATTTGATGACACTCTTCCAAATAAGTATTCCCCTCACTAACACACATTTACTCTTGAGAAACAAAACAAGAAGCGTTCTCAGCATTTGATCAATTGTGATAGAGACATAGGATGGAAAACCTGATTTAGATGAGCGTTATTGATCTTGATGACATTCCTGTAGATGACACTGGCGCTTAAATTAACATTGACGTCAATGCAGATATATTAACGAAATGATCGAGATACTTTGAGTCTTGCCACTTAACTCGACTACGAAGATGTTTCGGATGATTAAAAAAACGCTTCAGTGCTTCTCACCAATACCTGAGACACCGGTACCATCAGCGTATAAGCATTTATGACAGTTCTCTTCCCCACGTGTTGTGGGGCTCCACGTGACCGGCTCCGAAGCAATCGCTTGCTCTAGCCGGGAAAATCCCTAAGCTTCCGACCATACGAGCAGCCGGCCAGTAGAATTTTCATCCAGACAGAGGCTGAATGCGACCTAGCTAAAAACATTGTGTTGAAAATCCGCCACCGTTGTTATTGGAAACGTAGAACCGCCCGCTCAGCGACTCTGCAGGGGCAACGGATGTTAGCACCTTTTCAGAAGTGTTTAACTTGACATTACGTAGAGATACGTTTCGGCTACATCCGAAAGAAGATAGTATGAAAGTCATTCAGTGGTGCCGTATGCGTGGGGGTGTGTGACAACAGAGACGCGTATATTGAGTCCTGTAGGTTATAATTTGGGTGTGCAAAACAGCAACCACACGCTTGAACTGCTGGCCGCCGCACGTAATACCTGTTGCGGCGGAGAGATGGCGACACCGGCGAAGTGTTCGTTGGCGGGCATTATTACGACAGCCGATTTCTTGAAGCGAAATGCCCGTGAAGCGGTATCTCGCCGCCAGAGTCCCGGCCTGTCCGCGTGGTCACCCAATACTCACCCCGTTGGTCACTCGGATTTAAAAGAAACTTCGTCTGCAGATAGTGTATAATCGGACTCGTAAATCATCAAATTTTGAAGTGCTTTTGACAGAATAAGAGTTCCGAGCAAAAATATTAAATTCTGAAATGCCTCTTCGGCCGTTGGGCAGGCACGAGCGGTAGGCGAAGGAATTCTCAGACCGTTGGGACGTCGATGCCGAGCAAGAACTTGGATCAACCCAGATAGATGGCAGGGGGGCCTCTCCCGCAGAAATGCGAACATATACTTCCCAGTAGTTGCCTAGCCCTATATACCAAATCGAGCATGCCAACGCCAACATTCGCATTATAAACTATGGACGGGTAAATTAGAAACAACCTTGCACAATTAAATACGTATTTTACACTTCTGTAATTAGAATTATTGTTTCTTGAATATTGTTTAATCTTAATAATATACAAAATATTTATCATATAATCGTGAATGAAAGGCATCACTATATTGTTGCTTTCATATATAATTAAGACATTGCTTAACCGAAAAAGAGTAGAGTCCAAATAATGAACTTGCTTTGCCTTTTAGATGAATTTACTCGTTTATTGGTAAACCTGATCAATGCTAGTGCTTTATAAATCGCTACCTGGATTGAATATCCGCCTCAGAAAAGTTGCAAGCGTGTTTTTGAAGACTAGGTTTAATTAAATGTTCACAAAGGTAGTTGATATGAACAGTTATATATTACGAATATTCTAATACTTACTTATCAATCGTAATTTTCAAGCAAATTAATCGAATGATATGTTATAATTTTAATGTGTTGATAATTACATTTTAATTTAATGTTGTAGCATTTCAAATTTCATGTTATTAAACCGGATGAAAATGCAGTGGGTGTAAAATTGATAGTGAAATGGAATAATAGCTGAAATGCAGCGTACCCAAATTTCTCGTTTGGTCTGATTCACAATCAATATACCTGAAATCTGATTTTGGCACTTGAGCTGATATGGTGCTGCTTGCTTCAGACGCAGCCCCCGTTCGCGGCCTCAACCTCCTGATTGCATCCACCTAACGACCAATGATCACAGCACGAATCT